CTACTACTATTACTAGTACGACTATTACCACTGCTACTACTACTACTACTACTACTACTACCAAAACTACCACCACTACTACTACTACTGCTACTACTACTACTACTACTACTACTGCTACTGCTACCACGGCGACGAGTACTACTACTACTACTACTACTACTACTACTACTACTACTACGACTACTACTACTACTATTACTATTACTACTACTACTACTACTACTACTACTACTACTACTACCACTACTGTTGCTACTGGTACTACTGGTACGACTTGTACTTCTACTAGTACTAGGACTACCTCTACGACTACTACAACTACAACAACTACGACTACTACTACGACTACTACTACTACTACTACTACTACTACGACTACGACTACGACTACGACTACGACTACTACGACTACTACTACGACTACTACTACTACTACTACGACTAATACTACTACTACCACTACTACTACTACTACTACGACTACGAGTACTACTACTACGAACCCTACTACGACTACTACTACGAATACTACTTATTCTTCTTCTTCTACTACTACTACTACTACTACGACTACAACTGCAACAACAACAACAACAACAACTACTACTACTACTACTACTACTACTATTGCTACTGTTACTACTACTCCTACGACTACTACTATGGCTACTTCTACGTCTAGTACAACGACTACTACTACCACTACTACGACTGCGTCTACTACTACTCGGGGTGCCAAACAGGAGCATGGGGTTGCTTCTGAGGCGGGGTCTGCTACTACTACTACTACTACTACTACTACTGCTGCTACTACTACTACTACTACTATTACGACTGCGTCTACTACTTCTACTACTACTACTACTACTACTACTACTACTACTACTACTACTACTACTACTACTACTACTACTACTACTACGACTACTACTACTACTACTACTACTACTACGCTACTACTGCTACTACTACTACTACTACTACTACTGCTACTACTACTACTACTACTACTACTACTACTACTACTACTACTACTACTACTAACTACTACGACTACTACTACTACTACTACTACAACTACGACTACTACTACTACTACTACTACTACTACTACTAGTAGTAGTACTACTACTACTACTACTACTACTACTACTACTACTACTACTACTACTACTACTACTACTACTACTACTACTACTACTACTACTACTACTACTACTACTACTACTACTACTACTACTACTACTACTACTACTACTACTACTACTACTACTGCGACTACGACTACTACGACTACTACGACTACTACGACTACTACTACCACTACTACTACTGCGTCTACTACTACTCGGGGTGCCAAACAGGAGAATGGGGTTGCTTCTGAGGCGGGGTCTGGGGGTACGCTCTGCACGTTCGTGCCCTGCCGACTTGCGCTTTGACACCCGACGGCGCGTGGGCCGTTCAACCTTGACCGCTCGAGCAGGCCGCCCAACGTCGGCCGATCCAGGGCCACTGGCGGCGCTCGACCCTGAGCGCGCAAAAGCGAGGCTTCGCCGCCGCGTCGGCACGGCGCCAAGCTGCCGTACGCAGGAGCATGATGCATCCCGAGTCGTTTTTTGACGCTCCCGAGGCCCGGTGAGGGCCCCCGGAGGCCGAAAATTAGGAGAAACCTCACGTCGTGATTTTTTCATTACTCGATGGGGGGTCTGGGGAGAGCACGGCCAGGAACAGGCGCAGCAGCTACTGCAAAGCTGCACCACAGGGGGCCGCAGGGCACACTGGGGCCAGAGCAGGCATGGGGAAGAGCCCGAGCCAGGTGCGGAAGGCCAGTCGCTCGCGAGGGCGGGGGAGAGGAGCCAGCTGTTCTTGCAGCAGTGGCACGGGGGCATGGGCACAGGAGCTAGAATCAACCCGGATAGTAAGGATGCGCGATAAGGATGCAAGGGCCTTGGACGCCAATTTCGAAGCGTTTCGAGCGGGGCGCGGCCAACGAAAATGTCCAAGGATGGACCCAGGAGGCAAGGATGCAAGGGTACCCTTGGGAGGGATGCCTATCCTTACTATGCGGGTCGACTGTAGAATGTGTGCTCGGCCATAGCAGCTGATGCCCTGGCGCAGGCAAAGGGCAATCTGGGCCTCTCTCCTTCCTCTGTTCTTCATCCGCCTTTCCTCCGTGCTTGACTATGATGCAATGCTATACTATGCTATGCGTCGTGTATCCTTTCGGAATCGTTGTCCTCCTCGAGATCCGACTGTGCGAATAGAGAGGGGCTCTACGCAGTGGTAGGGGACGAGAGGGAGGGATAGGGGGTCAGATATGACTGCGGCGCTCCCAACTTGTCTTCCCCGCCCTCCTGGCCCAACACCGCTTCTCGGGCGTGAACACGCTCACCGCGTGCAGTCCATATGCATTTGCGGGACCTGGCCAACCAGGCCGTGCCGGGTTGCAACATGCTCGAGCGCCACGCAGAGCAAGGCTTAAGTCGGGCGTGTCCCCTACAGGGGGATCTTCCACGAAAAATTGAAAATACTTAAAATATTCAAGAGATGCCCAAAAATACTCAAAAAATGGTCCCCAGACTATTTTTTTATTATTCTTGAATATTCCCCCTGTAGAGGGACAGGCCCGACTTAAAGCAAGACACTACTCAATCACATCTTGAGACCTGGTCAGGCCTCGCCCGGCCGCGAAGAGAAACGACGCTGGTGCTGTAACCTTGACCACCAGGAAGAATTTCGAGCACCAGGGAAGTGCCGAAATTGGAAGGTTTTCACGAGTCGGGCCCTGGGAGACGCTCGTTCGACACTGTTTCGACACTGTTTCGACAATTTTCCAGGTGCTCGAAATTATTTCTGGGATGTGGTCCTTAAGTACGATGGGAACAGAACAGCATAACACTTGCCCCCAAGGGCCTCCCGGGCCTCGCCCTGTTCCGGCCCGGCCCAGCCCGGAAGGTTGGCCAGCGGCTCCTGGGCAGGCAACGTCTGAGCATTTTTCTTAGGGCGGAGGGCTCAGGGTGACATCCCCACTTGGCACCTCGAGAACCAATCCGCCTTGAAGTTGTCACCTGTAGCAGATTCGAGCCTCGAAGCTCTATTGCTATCGAAAGGGCATTTCAGATTTCACCCTGTGCCCTCCACCCGAAAGAAATGCTCGGCACGTCCTGGGCCGAATCGGGCGGCCCGATGCCGGGGCGGGTGGAGCGCCGGTGCCTGAAGACACGGCGGGCCCGAGCCGCGCCCAGCTGTGGCCAAGGAGAGCCCCCTGTCTCCCCCCGCTTCGGAGAGACGTGAGGCTCGGGTTCGGGGGACTCGGGTTGGCCTGACGGGGCCATGATGAAAATGACGAGGCCCAGACGCGAGCATCCCGCTGCAAACATCCCAATTACGAAAGCTGGACCGTCAAAGTGCAAGGCGGGCCTGAAAAATTCTAGGCAAACCCGAATTCCGGCGAACCTGAGTCTGACGTTTCCTCGCTGGCGGGAACCATTGCTCGGCTACCTCAGCCCCCCAACCGTCTCCAACTTAGAAAAACAAGAAATGCATAACCATACACTTTCGAAGGTCTGCGCGGATTCCTTGGATCTGCGCTGGACCCCCCTCCATGGCGCGCGGAGCGCGCCAGGGGCGGCGAAAATCTGCGCCGCCAGGGGCTCCTGGCGCCGATCCAAAAAAATCTGCGCGGACCGGCGAAAATATACATGTGTATGCCGTTTTTCTCCGAAAACCTCGATCAACGCCCCTCGAACTTGGACTCCACCAACGGGCACTTTGGCCAGTAACCCGGCGAACCCAGTCCTCCCCAGTGTGGGCCACGCTGCAGTGCCAGAGCGAGGCCCCAAAATGGCAACGTTCGGCAATTTTCTGAGAAGTACCCGTCAGTAATAGACGAGCGCGTTTCACTACTCGCAGAGTAACTACTCGCAAATGGCCTGGATCCCCCGCGGGGGATCTACCATAAACTACATCAGAGAAGACCTGCGTTTTTCTGACGTTTGCGAGAAGGCACTTTGCAAGTAGTGGAGCGCGCTCGGTGAAGTAAGTACCCGTCGGTCGGAAGTATTTAGAAGCACGAAGTAGGAAGGCGTTGAACATAGATTGGGTTCCGTCCGCCCCCTGAGAAGGACGGACCAGGTGAAGCCACTCGATCATTGAAATAGGAAGGCGCTTACAGCAGAATGGACCCTGGGAGTCCCCAAACTGCCTGCTTTCATCAACGACCGATGGGTGCCCGTCCCGGTGCCGCTGACTCGACAGCTCTCCGGTCGCGCCGGGGCCGCCGAGAGGGGAGCGGCGCGGGCCCGAGCATGTGCGGGGGCATCGGCTGCAGGCCCATCGCCGTGCCTCGGGCGGGGGCGCCGGGGCGCGGCCGCCGCCGAAGGCCGATGCGTCGCGCGGGCGTTCGTTCCCCGTGCATTGTGGTTCGGGCTCGTGCGTTTTTTGTTATCCCCTTCGATGGTGCAGGATGCTCCTCGGAGGGCCTCGCCGAGGCAATGAACCCGGCGCGGCCCCGATTGGGGGAAGGCTTCCTTCTGCAGGGGCGCGGTGCTTGGCCGTGCGGGTGAAAGCGCACACTCTCTAGTGAGGGAGGCGGGAGCAGGAGGGAAGCAGGAGGACCCGAGTAGGCAGAAAGATGTGCCAATGATGCTGGTGAGGGAGGAGGGAGGAGTGAGTAGGATGAAGGGGCCCAGGGGCACACAAATAAATAGACACAACTAACAGCATTCCCCATATTTTCCAATATTTTCTAGGGTTTCGTCTTCCCCCCCACTTTCCATATTTCTCTAATTTTCTGGGGAATCGACGATCAATTGTCTTTGTGTTTTTTTCCCCCTTCTGGTAGGAAAGAGGCAGGAGGAAGCGGAGGGAGCAGGGGAGAGCAGGAGAGAAGCAGGAGGACCCGAGCAGGCAGAGAGATGCGCCAGGTGATGCTGCAGTGCGCCCCCTGCCCACAAACAGGCCTCGGAACAAATCAGCGAACACTTAGCGAACACTTCTGCCGCAACGTTGAGTTTGGGGGGGAAGGGCTTTGTGGGCCCCGGAAAAGGCAAGGCCGTTTTTTCACCGTTTCCCAAAAAATGTCCCTTGATAATGAAAACGGCAAAACACGGCGACCGGAAACGGCAAAAAAACGGCTCCAGGATTGGAACCAGAGCCAGAACCAATCAAACAACGGCGACGGAACCGGTAAAAAAACGGCGTCGGAACTGGCAAAAAATGGCAAGACGGAACCGGTAAAAAAACGGCCCTGTCGTTTCCAGGGACCACTAAGGGGAGGGGGAGTGTTCAGTAATTGTTTCCCTCTACCGGAGTTCCTCCCCCCACGGGGGCCCCTGCAGGACAACTCTTGCCGCCGTGCGAGGCGCACCCCTGGAACGACGGGCGCCCTGTGGGCCAACAGCTCGGGCGGGAGGGCCAGCCATTCTGAAGTGGCCCTGGGACACACACGCAGACAATCAAACACACAAAGCGGGATTCTTCATATTTTCCTATATCTTCTGGGCTTTCGTTTTCCCTCCCACTTCCCATATTTTCCCATACTTTCCCTCGGAACCGACGATGCGTTGTGTCTGTGTGTGTTTCTCCTCCCTCCTGAGCTTTTTTGGGAAGAGGCCGACCCTCCACCCTTTGAGCAAGAAAGGGCCTGCGACGCGGTGGGGCACCACAACAAGCAAGGGCCTGCCCAACGGTAGCCCCGGCTTCGAAGAGGATCCCCCTCCGTCCGTCCGTCCGGAGGAAGAGGAGGAAACCGAGGAGGAGGAGGAGGAGGAGGAGGAGGAGGAGTGTAACTCTTTCACAGGTGCATGCTTGAAAGCCAGAGCCCTTCGTCCGTATGGTTGTTTCAATATCCGCCACCGTGCCTCGAGGCACGAGCTGGAATTGTCCTGCAGCCCAGAGTTCCGGGCGCTCCTGGGGGGGGTCCCCGCGTGACGATTCGAGAGGCCACGAACGCGTTGTTCGGGACATGCATGTCGAGCATGGTTTCAGATGGCCCCAGGTACTGTCCTGGAGCCTGCTTAGGCGCTTCTTGGGCATTACTGCCTTTTCGAGCTTCAGAGCGTCCAGGACGGCCCAAGAGGTGCCCAAAATCGCCCCCAGACGGCCCAAGAGCAGGCCCTCAACACGGCCCCAAGAGGGGCCCGAAATCGGGAGCACGAACTGACATTTTGAGCCCTCCGCTTCAAGATGGTCCCAAGATCCCCCCCCACAAGCTCCCGAGGGGCCCCCAAGATGCCCCCAAGAGGCCCCGAGGGGCCCACATCAGGCCCCAAGACGCCCGAAACCACCCACAAAACCGCCTCCAAGCGATCCTCACAGGCATCCGGGAGGCCTCTGACCTAGAACCCAGGCAAGTGGCGGGATGGACCGAAGGCCTCTGGTACAATAGTTTTGGCAATACGTCATAATACGAATGACATCTTGAACGAGAGCGCCATTCATGTTGAGGAAATCCGCCAGCCCCATTGTGGGGCCATCACGCTGCGCGGGCGAGGTTTCCTGCAACCTGCTCCAGTTCCACCTTTCAGTCACCAGCATGATGCTTTCTACTGGCCGGCATCCCCCGTGAATTATGCAAACTTTGTGCTCCCAAGGGGACGGTTCCCAAAATGCAACAAAGTGTTCTACACTAGCCAACAACTCAATATGTTTCGTTGGTTCCTGTCCGTCCCCGCATGATGTTCACAAGTGTCTCCAAGACGGCGCCCAGACTGTCCGTATATATATATATATATATATATATACATACATACACACGTGCTAGAACCATCGCGCGAGCTTCGCGCGTGCTCAAGTTCTAGCAAGGCTTGATATGCTACCTCATGCAATATCATTTTAGTCGCTTCTTGCGTCCAGGGACTCCCTTGGAGGCCCTGCGCAAGCCTCGGAATCGCGTAGAAGGGGAGGTGCGGAAACGCAGAAATCATTAATTTCTTTTCGGTATTCAGCAATTCGAGGCCCTCAAAGGCTTCATGGGTTCTTTTCTGGGAAGTGAAAGGGGTCTGAATTGTGGTCTGTTGTGCAAGAGTAGACCGGCGGCCAAACTTGGGAAAAACAGGAGTTGGGAGATTTTAATGTGTTTCCAATTGCTCGGCGCTGTTCGGCGCTGTTGTTTGTTTGTGCCTCGCGGGTTTTGTTAGCCGGGCCCCTCAGGGGTGTGGGATCTTCTGGACCCCCTGGGGGTTCTGGAGGCCTCCTGGAGGCCTGGAGAGCCGTCGGTAAGGTGTCTCGGGCTGCGCGGGAGCGTGTTGGGCCGTTTTTTGCGTTCTGGGGGCTCCTTGGGGTCGTCTTGGGCTGTCCTTGGGCGTCTTGGGGGCCCCCCAGGAAGCCGGGAGGCGCGGTACCGGCCAGATGTCAGGGGATTTGTGGGATCTGCGAGTAGGAGTCCACTTCAGAAAAAAAGAATTCGGGGAATTCCCTTTTTTTTTCTCTCTTCAAAATCCTCGATCTCGATCTTCGAGGGTTGGAAGTCGGAAAACGTGAGAAGGCGAAAAACATTAGAGAAACCACTGGGAATCAACGACCTTACCCTCTCTGGGCTTTCTCGGGGCGGCTCTCGCAGCTCTCTTGGGCTGTTCTTGGAGCCTCGTCGGGGTCTTTTTGGGGCCTCTCAAGGGTCGGGGGTGGGCGGGGGCCTCTGGGTGGCCCCGGAGGCCTCTCGGAGGTCTCTGGGGGGCTTCTGCTCCCGCTCTTGCGCCCATCTTAGGCCTGTTCTGGGGTGGTCTGGGGCTGTCCTGGGCGCCTCTTCGGCAATCTTGGAGCCTTCTTGGCCCGTCTTGGGGCCGTCCTGAGGTTCTCTTGGGTGGTCTTGGGGCGGTCTTGGGAGCCTCTTCTGTGCTCTTGGACCGTTGGAAGCTCGAAAATACGCGAGAAGCCAAAAACATTGAAAAAACATTGAACATCTACGATTTTGGCCTCTTCGGGCCGTCCAGGGACGCCTCTCGGACCTCTCCTCGGGTCTGTTGGAGGCCACCTGGGAGCCTCGAGAGCCGTCGGAACGCTGACTCGGGCTGCTTGGGAGCGTCTTGGGCCATCCTTTCGCACTGGGGGCTCCTGAGAAGCGTCTTGGGCCCTCCTGGAGCGCTGTGGGGGCTCCCCGGAAAGGCTGAGGAAGCGGTACCAGGAGCGCCCCCGAGATGTCACGGGGAGGTGTGCGACCCGGGGCCAGGAGCGGGGGGCGGTATTTATCTATATGATGTATACTAGAACCATGCGCGCGCTTCGCGCGCTGAGGTTCTAGCAAGTTCTCGTTGTGGTCTAAAGTGCTCGGCGTCGGAGAACACATAGTGTCACACGGATCGTGCAACCCAGGGAGCTCCACCGACGGCCCCAGATGCAAGCTTGGCTTAAAGTCCCCCCGCCAAGGCCAGTACACCTCTCAAAGGGATCGCGCCCCACAGGGATCTCCACCTACGTCCCCAGAAACAAGGTTCGCATAGTGGCACGCCCCTCAGGCGAATCGCGCCCAGCAAGTAGCTGCATTTGCGGCACCGGAGGGAAGGTTTACAGCGTCGCCTGGCTTACTTCGGCACGCCTCTCACACCCATTGTGGCCCGCAGGGAGTTCCACGGACGGTCCCAGAGGCAAGGTTCACATGCCGCCCCCCCGCCTACTTCGGCACACCTCTCGCGCTGGGTCGTTGCCCACAGGGATCTCTACCTATGACCCCAGAGGCGAGGTTCGCACTGCGCCCCCCCGCCCATTGCGGCACACCCCACCGCGCGGATCGCGCACGGAAGGAACACCACCTAAAGGCAAAATGCGTACAGCGCCCCCCCGTGCCGGCACACACGTCACGCGAATCATGCCCCAGAAGGAGCTATACGCCTATGGCACCGATGGGCAGCTTCGCATGGCGTCCCCCCGCCCATTGCGGAACTATGCTCGTATGGGCCGTGCCCGGAGGAGGCCCACCTGCGGCTTCAGTGGGCGTGTTCGTGCGGGGCATCTGAATTACTCAACACACGCTTCACGCAGACCGTGCCGTACAAGGAGTGCAGCGCACCCGTGCACGCGTGCTCCGCAGCAGCCCCCTTCCCGCAGTGCCCCGAGGCGCGCAATGTATGACGAGAGACCGTGCCCTGCGCTATGCATGACTACGTAGGGATGGATCAGTCGACAAGCCAATTGCTGGCTCATCTGTAGCCTTCGGCCTCTATCGCTACTGTGCCTTGTGCCTGAGTTTTGGACCAGAAGGTTCTCGGATACCTGTAATTCGGGGTCTGTTGGCGTGCTTCTCGGGCACCTCGTGGAGCGACTCTTGAAGCTTCTCGGGGGCCGTCAGGGGGCCTCTTGAAGTCTCATTTTGAGACCTTGGGGGGGGGGCGGGGACGTATTCAAATAAGAAGAGGCGCCATGAAACATGGGGAAACATCATGGCCCCCGCTTTGATATCCACCACCCCCTGGTCATCATCACCCCCCTCGTTGCCGCCCTCACACTGGGGCCTATGGGCGGCATGCCGACGCCGATCGGCTGCGGCTGCTGAATCCCCATCGGCGGGGGCATGCCGGGGACGAATCCTCGGCGGCCGGCCAAGGCAGAGGCGGGGCGCGAGGGGCGCGGAAAGGTGGGTTCGGGGGAGGAGGGAGGGGGAGCTCCTCCTACTCCTCCTCCTTCTCCTCATCCCTCCTCCTGCTCCTCCTCCTCCTCCTCCGTCTCCTCATCCCTCCTCCTCCTCCTCCTCCTCCTCCTCCTCCTCCTCCTCCTCCTCCCTCCTCGTCCTCCTCATCCCTCTCCTCCTCCTCCTCCTCCTCCCTCCGTCTCCTCCTCCCTCCTCCTCCTCCTCCTCCGCCTCCTCCTCCTCCTCCTGCTCCTCCTCCTTCTTCTCCCTCCTCCTCCTCCTCCTTCTCCTCCTCATCCTCATTCTCCTCCTCCTCCTCCTCCTCCTCCTCCTCCTCCTCCTCTGGCCCTGACCTCGCAAAGTTGTGTGGCAAATCTCAGCCTCGGGGGGGCCTCGCGCCCGGCCGCCCGACAACGACGGACCGACGACGACGGGCACTCCGCGACAGACGACCGACGACCGACAGGAGTGAGGAAGAGGAGTCCCCATCGCTCTACTCTTAAGTCGGGCCTGTCCCCCTACAGGGGGATTTTGGGCGACAAAAATAAAAAATACCCAAGAATGCGTAAACATAGCCAAACAATAGTCACCAAACTATTTTTTGCTATTTTCGAGTTATCCCCCTGTAGAGGGACAGGCCCGACTTAACTCTACTCTCGCATACAGTGGGAGCTCGGCGCAATAAACGTTCCACAATACACCCAAACCCTGAGACCCCAGGGCGTCCACTGCTTGTGTTGGTGTGGGGTAGTCACGCTCTCCGTCGCAGAACCGCCGAAGCCCATGACACCCAGGACACCCTGGAGGCAGGCAGGGCGTTTTCGTGGCATGCGAACCGCAGCCCCTGACCCAGACAAAAGGGCAATCAAGCCTCCGATGGCCGCGCCTGGCCGCCTTCGCGGGCGTGCAGGGCGACTGCACGGGCAGATTGGAGGAGGAGGAGGAAGAAGAAGAGGAGGACCAGTGTAAATTCAAGTCTCCTCAACGATGCTGGAATCCGCCGACCCTGTCGGCGTGTGGAAGAGGCTGTTCCGTTTGAGACGTCGTCGTCGTCGTCGTCGCGGTCGTCGTCGTCGTCGTCGTCGTCGTCGCCTTCGCCGATCGCTTCCCCCCTTTTCCCTAGGCCCGTCGCCATTTCCCCCACTTTCACCCGGTTCTCCTCCTCGAGCGCGCCAGCCACAGCGAAATTGAGTAACGTTGTAGTTGAAACGAAGGAACCCCCTTCCCTTTGATCCCTTCCCCGCCGGCCGGGGGGGGGGTCACGGGGGTGAGGTCCCGGGGGGGGTCCCGGGGGGGTCCCGGGGAGGGGTCCCGGGGGGGGGGGGGGGTCCTGGGGCAGATACGACCCCCCCTCGGGCGGTTGGGCGGCCAAGAAAAACTGCAGGACGCAGCAAAACTGCCCCAAGATGCCCCCAAGACGGTCCCCGAGGGCCCCGAATCACCAAAGTATCGGTCCAAGTCGCCAAAGTAGCCTCCAGAAGGCTCCAAAAGGTTTCAAACGCCCCAAGAGGCCTCCAAGAGGACTTCCAAGATGGTCCCAAGGGGCAAACATCATCGATGTCCTGCGAATTGTTCAAAGATTTCGGCATTCTCGCCTTGTCAGCTTCCCGACGCTCCAAGACAGGCCAGAAAACCCCCGCAACCGTCCCAAGATGGCCCCAAAAGGCGTCCACAGGAGAGCCTGAAACCGACCCAAGAGGGCCCCAAGACCGACCAAGAGGCCTCCAAGACAGCCGAACAGGCACCCAAGACGGCTCCAAGGAGGAGCCCAGACGGGGGACCCGAACGGACACTTCGAGCCCTCGGCCTGAGAAGCTCTCAGGAGGCCCCCAAACGTCCCCAAGAAGCCCCCCGGGAAAACCCCCAAGAGACCCCCTGTAAGCCCCAAGAGACCCCACGAGGCTTCCAAGCGGCCCCAATGAGCTTCCCAAGAAGCCCCCAAACTACCCCAAAAGGCCTTCGAGAGCGCTCGTCGTTGTCGTCGTCGTCGTCGTCGTCGTCGTCGTCATCGTCGTCGTCGTCGTCGTCGTCGTCGTCGTCGTCATCGCCATTCATGTTCGGCGGAAGCGGCCGTAAGGCCTTCGCAGTAGACCCTCCCTCAAAACTCCCTCCTCATAGGACCCCACAAGGAAGGATTTATTTCCACTGAAGGAATTGCTCCGCTGGGGGACAACCCTTTGAACACCCGAATCGTGCCAAAAGACCACTCCCGGGACCCCAGGGCCACGAATCGCCGAGACTGTTGCGTCGTGGCGATCCTGCATCGTGCCGAGCACTATTCCTAAGACGTCAACACCGCCAATCAACGCAACTGTTGCGCCGTCCCGATCCCGAAACACTTTTTTGGGTACGTCGACCACGGGAAACCATAAAACTCTTGCAACTGTTGGAAACGAATGTGCGCGGCGCTAATGCGAGAACCACATGTTGAATACGAACCGCCCTGCGTCCGTGAAGCTTCTGCGACAATTCAACGCGAATGTGCGATGCCCTAGAACGAGAACCACATGTTGGAAACCACCCGCCCTCAATCCGAGAAGTTCTTGCACTTCTTCATGACAAATGTGTAGGGCGCTAAGGCGATAACTGCATTTTCCGTGAAACCCTTGCAACTGTTTAACATGAGCGTGCGCGCCGTTCAAACCGGAACCACATTTTGAAAACCAGCCGCCCTCAATCCGTGAAATCCTCGCAAATGTCCAAAAACGAATGTGCACGGCACTGAGGCGAGAACCACATGTTGAAATCCACCCGCCCTCAATCAGTGGAACTCTTGCAAATTGTCTGCTTCAAAGTCGTAGACGATGAGAAGTCCCAGGCGGCCCGCCCTTTCGACCACCCTCAGGGTGCCGCAGGAATAGGAGGATGAGGAGGAGGAGGCTTGACTTCTGGTTGCTTTCTGGTTGGTCATGGGTTGTTCTGGGCGTTCTAGCCGCTCACGTTACACGTGTTTAGGCCGCATTTCTAACCAGAAACCAACCAACTTCAACCGAACAGCACTTACACGTTGTAAACAAACTTTACATGTTGTAAACACGAACTCTGGGCTGAAGACTGAAGACTACCTCGAGCGTCTGGGGACGCTCGCTCAGCACGGCGGCCGCGGCGCCGCCGCCCACGGGAGAGACGCCCGCACCCCCCGAAGGCCACAGGCGGGAGGCCCAAAAGGGCACAGGCCGGGCACCAGGCCCGACCCCGGGAGCCAACAGGCCCCCGCAACGGGAGCGACGAACCCGGAGGGTTCGCCCCTCCAGGGCGAGACAAGCCATTCCCTCCCCAGAGACGGAAGGGCCGGAAGCGCCAGAGGCCAAGGGGGAGAAAAAGGGTGCCCCCCCCCCCCACACCTGTCACGACGACAACCCACAGCAGCTCAGAGGAGCACAGCAGGTCACCGAAGCAAACATGGTCGGTGAAAGCGCCGACGACACGCCGAGTTCACGCTGAACTCGCACCCTGAGGCCCCCGGCGGAACCACTCCCTGAACTCCTGGAGGTCGAAGTCGCAGCCGCCGAAGAAGCCCGAGTCAATGGCCTCCCACACCGCTGCAACCTCCGCCGAGTATTCGGGCCCACTCCCCTCCTTCTGCACCGAGGTGTCCTGGTCGAGCTTCGGGAACGGCGGCACCTCCACCAGCTCCGAAAACTTGACCTTACCCTTGGCCTTCTTGTCCTTCTTCTTTCTCACGAAGAACTCCCCGAGCATTACTGCCTCCGACGAGATGTCGAATTCCTCCGTCTTCACCTGCGCCGATCCTCCTGCTCCCAAGTGTGGACACGAATGCCTACCCCCTCTCGGTCCTCTCCCAAATCTCCTCCCCGAACACCGCGTGGAAGATCCAGCCCTGTCCCAACCAATATCTCCTCCATCTCGCACGCTTGGGCGGCGGAGCCGTCGGGTGACCCGTGAACCTCTCCGTCGTCTCCTCCGTGCGCGGCACCGCCCACGCTGTGCCAGTACCTGTGTCCATCACCGTCGTGTTCTCCTCCATCTTGTCCGCCTTCCGATTCCACCTGTTTGGCCGCTTCCAGCCTCCCCAGGTGTCCTCGTCCTCGGTCTCCTGCGACTTCTCCTCCCCGCTGACTGCCGTCGCCGCCGCCTTCGGCACCTGACCTGCAACCTCCTTCGCCTTCTCGTGCTTCGTGCTTCGTGTCCTTCTTCTGCTTGCTCTTCGTTTTGCTGGCCGCCGTCGACGCCGCCTTCGGCCCCTGACTTGCCGCCTGCCCCAGCCTCATGTCCTGCTTGTTCTTCGTGACAGGAGGAGGAGGAGGAGGAGGAGGAGGAGGAGGAGGAGGAAGTTTTCTGCATGCAGAAACCTTGAGGAAACTCCAGGAGCCTCTGGAAACTCTGGAGGCCCACACCAATACCGAACAAACCCAAACTCATAAAAAAGCAGGATCCTCGATCCTAAACCCTCCATTCCCAAGCAAGGATGGATAAAGGGAAGATGACGGATGAGGATGAGGAGGAAAGAGGAGGATGGAAGATGAGGGAGGAGGAGTGAGGAGGAACATGTGGAGGGAAGGAAAAGGAGGAGGGAGGAGGACTCGGGGTCGGAGGATTAGGATGCTGTCCAGATGTCGCAAGTGCATCACCGCAGCAGCACTATGAAGGGGCCGACAGGGCCTGAGCCACCCCAAGCTCGGCCTCACGCGCCTGCACGGCAGCTCTGGCGCTCCTGGGCGGGCCTTCCCTCCGCGGATAGAGCCAGGGAGGGAGGAGGAAACGGGATACGGGGAGGGATGAGGACTTGCCATCGCTCGGACGTCCCTTCCCTGTGAATTGTTCGATTTCGTGCGATGCTCCTCGATGGCCCTCGCCGAGAAAAAAGACACATGCCCGAGCGATGCCAAAGGGAAGGGGAGGCAGGGAGGCAGATGGGGAGGGAGGGAGGGAGGGAGGGCGGAGGGAACCCTCAGAGCCGACGCCACGAACAAAAAAAATAACGCCGCAGAAGTGACGACCAACACCTCAACGCCCCGCCCTTCCGCGCCACTTTTCGAGCCGGACAGATCCGTGAGGGTCCTGGGGCTAAGAAACATGGCGAACTCGTCCACTGCGAGAAAAAATGCGACGCCAGGGGACGCAAGGGAGGAAATATTTCGGCGAGATGGGGGGCCCGCCTCGCCCTCCGCCCCATCTGCGCGGGCGCCAGGTCCTGGGAATCCGGGGTGCCCCATCTGGTGGGGGTGCGGCTGGGGCGCCGGATGCTGCCCCGGCAACGTCGTGATCGACGGGCCCTGCGGAAATGACCGGCCGCCGCAGGCGAGGAGGCGGAAGAGAGGCGATGAGAAGGGGCGAGGAGAAGGGTGGGAGGATAGCAAGGGACGGCGCTGAAGGGGGGGAGGAGGAGGAGGAGGAGGAGGAGGAGGAGGAGGAGGATGATGAAGAGGAGGAGGAGGTGGAGGAGGAGAACGAGGAGGAGGAGGAGGAGGAGAAGGAGGAGGAGGAAGAGGAGAAGAAGAAGGATGATGATGATGATGATGAGGATCATGGAGGGTGGGGACTGATGATGATGATGATGATGATGATGATGATGATGGTGGTGATGATGGTGGTGATGATGATGATGCTGGCGATGATGGTGATGATGATGACGACGATGCTGCTGATGACGATGATGATGCTGCTGATAATGATGATGCTGATGCTGATGCTGATGCTGCTGCTGCTGCTGCTGATGATGATGATGATGATGATGATGATAATGGTGATGATGCTGATGCCGCTGATGATGATGATGATGATGATGATGATGATGATGATGATGATGCTGACGATGATGATGAGGATGAGAAGGAGAGGGAGGGAGGAGGAACATGAGGAGGACAAGGAGGAGGAGGGAGAAGGGAGGAGAGAGCAGGGAGGAGGGAGGAGGGAGAAGGAGGCGGAGGAGGAGGAGCAGCAGGAGGAGGAGGACCAGGGTAAACCCAAGAGTCATCAATGATGTTGGGATAAACCCTCCATCCAAGCTCCCTCTTCATAGGCTCCTGCAAGGGTTCATTTCCACTGAGGGAGCTGCCTCGTTGGAAGGCCACAATTTGAAGATCCTGAAGCGTGCCAAAACACTGTTCGCGGGATTCCAACGCAACGGATCAACTTTACCGTTGCGTCTTGACGCACCTGCGTCTTCAACACTGCGAATCAATGTAATTGTAGCACCTTCAGAATCCAGAATGTTTGTACAACGCCAACAATGATACGTTAGTAATGGATATCCGTGAAACTCTTGCATGCTTAGCAACAACACAAATGTGCGTTGCCAAAACGAAAACCACGTTTTGAAAAGGAACCGCCCTCCAACCGTGAAACTCTTGCAACTGTTTTAAAACATTGCGCAACGCAACAAAACGAGAACCACAGTTTGAAAAAGAGCCGCTCCTAGTCTGTGAAACTCTTGTACTTGATTAAAGCGAAAATGCGCGACCCTACGGCGGAAACCACTCATTGACAACCACCCACCCTCAATCCGCGACGCTCTTGAAATTGTTTAAAGCAAATGTCCGCGGCGCTAAGCCGAGAGTAACACTTTGAAAACCACCCATCCTCCATATGTGGAGCTGTTGCCAATTTCGAAGCTTCAGGAACATAAATGGAGAAGCAGGAGGAGGAAGACGAGTAGGAGGAAAAGGAGGAAGATGAGAAGGAATGGGGGGGAGGAGGAGGAGGAGGAGGAGGAGGAGGAGGAGGAGGAGGAGGAGGAGGAGGAGGACGAGGAGAAGGAAGATGAGGAACTGGAAGGATGGGAAGAAACGGTGGATGAGACGGAAAACTGGTATAAGCGATGATGTGGAGGAGTGGGAGGGGGAGAGGGGGGAAAAGGGAGAGGAGGAGGAGGATGAGGAGGAGGAGGAGACAGAGTAGGAGTAGGAGTAGGAGTAGGAGTAGGAGGAGGAGGAGGAGGAGGAGGAGGAGGAGGAGGAGGAGGAGGAGGACACAGAGGAGGAAGGACGGTCAAGTAGGAGAGAGTGCAGGGAAAGGAAGGAGGGCGGCGGAAGGGATGGGCGCTGAGGGAGGACGCAAGGCAATTGGAAGGAGTGGACTGAGGAAGAGGCAGACGGCGTCGTGATCGATGGGTTATTCGAACTCTCGGGGCAGCGATGCGAGAAGCTGCGACTTTGGGTTGGAAAAGAGATTCTTGCCTGCACGGGCGAGGAGGGCGAGAGAGCAATGGGGTTGCGAAGCAGGGGCGCGCTATGAGGGGCAAGAGTGGAGGAGGCGGACTTTGGAGGACGCGCCACCTGGGCCCTCCTTCTGGACTGCAGGTGGCGCAAAAAGGGAAATCAACAGAGAGGGTTGGGGTAGACCCACCCGATCATGCCCTGCCAACGCCCGCTAGACCACCTGCCCTTCAGGCAAGGCGCGCGGCAGTCGTCACGGCGGGGTCGCAGCGCACGAAGGTGAGGACCCTCTCCTCCTTTACCTCCCCAGAAAATCGCCGCGCATACGCGCGCCGACTGGTTGGATCAACCGAGGCACGGAAAGACGAGGCCGAAGGTCATGATCTGCCGGGTCCGCCGACCCGATCAGCCATGGCGGTGTGTCTGCCGCCTTGCCCCTTTGAGCAGAACCACCCGGCGAATGGACACCTTAGGACTTGCGGCCCATGAGTGGTATTGGCGATTACCTTGTGCAACCCCATTAACCACCTAGCCATTTCCTCCCGGGAGGGGCCCAAACCATTGGGGGTCGGGACTGCACATGAGAGCGTTCTCCGCAGTAGCCGTTGTACTCCGCTGCTGCATCTCTTCTTGGGCGGGCGGCCCCAAAGAAGGAAAACCCAGGAGGCAGAAAAACCCAGGAGGCAGAACTTGATGTAAACGGCTGCTGGCCGTCATGACGCAACCGCTGCCGCACACATCCGACCATCGTACACTCAACGACCGCAAGGCCCGCCAGTTCATGACAGAGCAACGCGGGTCCAGGGATCCTGCCTCGACATCTGGGCCAACTCGCGCGATCCTGCCTTCCGCGGAGCCTTCGGAGCCGCACGGTGAACCGGGCACTGCGGAGCCGTCGAGCCGAAGAGCTCGCGCTCACGGAAGTCGTGGCGCAAACAAGGCCTCGGAGCGGTCAGGTCGGTCCTTCGAGCATCCGGTGGGGGGTGGCCTCGTCTGGCCGCGTGGAGCCCGGCTGGGGGCCGATCCCTGGAGCGGGCTCGGGGCGTCCTGGGCCCATTCGGAGCCTCCCCCCTTTCCCCGGCGCCAGGCCGTCCAATGGGCCGTCGAGCCGATTCGGGTGCGCCAGGGGAACTCCTGGAGCAGACAGCGCGGACTCCAGATTTTGTCAACGTTAAGCCTTGAGGAGTCTTTCAGGCCCCGCGAAATAGGGGGGTAGCGGATGATCTGTTCGGCGACCTTCTTGAAGGACTGGGGTCCCACAGACACGGGGTAAGTAAGCATCTTTTCCAGCGGCACCCGCAGCGCAGGAAAGGGAGGAGGAGGATGAGGGTGATGAGGAAGAGGAGGAGAGCAACTAGGACTGGGAGGAAAGGGGAGGAGGAAGAGGTTTTAGGACCAGCCCTTTTCACCGCCGAGTCAAAAGAAGGGGGGGCATTCAAAGCTAAAGACTCATAGTAGATGTTACCCTTGCAGCCCTGCGCCCGCATGCCAGGTGCCCTGCTCCCGTCCCCAGAGAAGGACCAGGCTGGCGCAGCCCCACCCCTATCACCTGAAGCCCCGCTGGCATCTTCTGAAGCCCCGCTGGCAACACCCCGGCGGTATCCTTCTTGGTCCTTCCTCCTCTTCTTTCTCCTCCTCCTCCTCCTCCTCCACCTTATCTTCGTGCTCCTCCTTATCTTTCTCCTGCTGCTGCTGTCGCTCCTCTTCCTCCTCCGCCGTCCCTCTTCTATCCTGTTCCTTCCTTCTCTCATTTCTTCTCTCCTCCATTCATTTTCCTTTAGAATAACTGCTGCCCGTCACCCCCCCCCCCCCCCACGCGTCAATAATGCGGGCCAAACGTTCCGCCTTAGAATCCGCACCAACCGTGACCCTGAATGTTGACATCTGCCGCGGCCACGCGCATGGAGAACATGTGGTTTTCGACATGGAGCTCCCGCCTGGGCGCAGCGCGCTTGTGTCTTGAAACGTGGCAACAGCTCGAGGATGGAAGGCGTACGCTCGCAAGTTGAGCTCCCACTGCAGAGCCGCCGACATTCGTCTTAAAAGCTGGCACCATTTACAAAAAATATGGACGGGGCTGGTTTTCAAGAGGAAGCTCTAGCCCCTGCGCTGTGCGCGCTCGTCTTTTAAAAGAACGTGCACCAACTACAAGGGCGGAGGGAGGGCGTTTTCCACTTCGCCGCGCACAGTCCTCTTAAAACCTGCCGTTCGTTCAGAGGGCGGCATGAACACAGGTTCAACATGGAGCTCTGACCTTGGATTCGTCCTGACAACTTGCAACAATAATGTGGCTCCTTTTAAAATCCGGGCTCTCGCCTAAGCGCCGCGCGCATTGCAACTCGAATGATAACCCTACTGTAGCAAGATCCAACTCTAATTGAACCCTACTACGGCTCGGTCCAGCTTTACTTGACTAACATTAGGTTTCGACCAACCTTGACCGCAGCGTACTAAAGATCGATCCTCGTCGTCGTCGTCTTCGTCATCGTCGTCGTCGTCGTCATCATCGTCATCGGCGTCGGCGTCGTCGTCGTCGTCGTCGTCGTCGCTGTCCGACCCCGACGGCGCCAGCGGCTGCCGTCGTTCGAACCCCGGTTCGAACCCCCACCCCTTGCAATTCAGGGGAGGCCCCCGTCGGTTCGACCCCCCCTCTTAAAGGGGGGGGCGGGGCCAGTTCGAACCACCCCTCGCAAATCAGAAGTGGTGTCCCCCCCCCTGATTCGAGCCCCCCCACCCTTGAGAGAGGGGGGGCCCCCGGTTCGAACCCCGTCCCCCGCCCCATCAGTTGAAAGCCCCCCCCCCCCCGTGGCCCGATACCCCTCTCCCCCTTGAGCCCCCCGTCTCGCCCCCCTCCTGAAAGTCCGGGTCGAGCCTCCACTCCTTCCCAACGTCCACAGAACAGCTGTTTTTTTTTCAACGTGAGGATCTTGCTTCATGTGTCCTTCGAATGCATGCACATTGAATCAACGCGTGGAACACACGCGTGGCGCTGGCGTTAGTTTGCTATTTCTTCCTTCGTGGTTAATTTTTAAGAAGAATCAATTTCAAACTTCGCCTGGCGAAAGACCCGACCGTATAAAACTGCGAGTCCGCCGCGCGAAGCAAAGAGAGCTAGCTGGCTGACCGACGGGCGGGCCGGTGGCTGGGCAGACCGTCGCCAGGAGAGCGAAGCGCTGTGCGGAGTCCCCGCGACGCGCGCTGGTCGCCCCGAAGGAGAGCCCTGGCGACGCGCGCAAGTCGCCCCAGGCGCAGCGGCTCGGAGCAGCCTTAAATTCTACCGCCGCGACGCCAGCCCGCCTCCCCACTGGCGCGAGCGAGCGGAAAATCGCAGCGGGCGAACGCAGGAAAATGAAGCCACGGCCCACGCGTTTGCGAGCCCGACGGGTCACCCCGTGGATGTCCCCATGCCAGCGGCGGCGCACCGCCTGCGGGTTGAAGAATTAGGGGCGCGGCTGCGCCGCGGGGGCGGTGCGCAGATTGCGCGAGGAGCGGAACGAGAAGTCGCCCCACACATTCGCGCTTACCGTGCACGGCGCCAGGTCGAACCCATCCCGGATGGGGCGCGGCGCGTCCACCGTCGGCGAAGGAGGGCGCGGCACCTGGACGAAGACGATGCTGATGGGCCGAATCGGGAATAGCAGCCGCGGAGAAACCACGGCAGCCTGCAGCGCATCATATTGGGCGCGGTCTCCGCGGACGTGCCTCGGGAGGACGAGGCCGCGGAACGCCTCGAATGCCTCGGCCGCGGAAGCGACGTCGGCCGCGTCGGTCAAGCGAGACGCAAGCAGAAGCCCCCAGGATGCTCGCATTGGTGTCGTGGCTGATGCGGGGGTCCTCCGAAAAGCGCCGCATGGCGATGCCCGTGCGCGCGGTGGCTGCGCTCGAGGTTTCCCCGCGGGAATTGAACTCCGAGCGGTGGGCCGCTTTCCGCGCGCCCTTGTTCGGCAGCGAGAAACATGCCATCTCTTTGTTGTTGATGGTGTAGCTCGACGCCTGGGCAGCCGCCCGCGGGCCCTGCTTCTTGGTCGGCTACGCGCTCGCGCGCCAGCGCCCCACTGGCGCGTGGAAGCCTCCAGTCGCCAACTTGTCTTTCATTGGCGCAATGGCACGGCGGTTCGCCCTGCCCTTGCCGTCGAAGAAAACTAGGAGGTCGCCCTTCCCCCGCGTCGCGACGAAGAACTCCACGACGCGCTTGAACTTGGCTTCGTCTGCCGCCATCGGCCCGCTCAGCCTCGCATCGGCGCCCTGTCTGGCAACGTGGGTGGGTGGGTGGGTGGGGGGGGGGCAGCTCGGCCAGCTCGCGTTCGCCCTTTCAAAGGGCGAACGCGCGGACGTCGCCCTTCCTCCTCCCGAAGCGATGCCGGAGGCTGAGTTCCTCCCGCGCGCCCTGCACCTGCGCCGCGGCATACTCCGCGCGCGCCAGAGGCAGCGCCGACGACAGGCAAGACGAGGAACTTTACGCTTTTCCTGCGGAGCTGCTAGAGGTGCCCCTGGTGCTTCTGGAGCTCCTCTTCCTGCTCGTTTCCGAGCTCGGAGACCCCCGCCAACCCGAGATGCTGGTCCAGGTCGGGGCCGGCTGGGATCGGCCCACCAGTGCAAGTGGCCGCGAAGGCGCGGCACCTGACGCCCGCCTGCCGGCTGCTCTCGTTGAGGCATGTGTGCCGGAGGAGCCCTGCCGAGGAGGTCTGCGTCTCCTGCGCGGTGAGCGGCCCCGCTTCGCCGCGAAAGCGCCGGACCACACCGGCCGCGCGACGTCGACCATCGCCTGCGTCCTTGGATCTTCCCCATCCCGGTGCTGAGCCACTTGCATCATAAACGGCGCGCCCATCCCGTCGGACCCGCCCGACTCGAGCGCCCGGTGCGAAGCCGCGAGCCCATCCGCGCCAGCGGTAGCGAACTTCTGCGCGATGCTGAGAGGCGTCTGGAACATGGCCATGCGACCGTGCGTCTCCTTGTCCATGAGGTACCACTCATGGGGGATGTACTCGACGAGCTCTTTCTTCTTGAAGAGCGCGTGGATCATCGCTGGCGTCTTCTTCTCGCGCCCGACGACGCGGCAAACGGAAAGCTTTTCTTCCTCCGGAACGTCGCCCGTCAGGCAGGCTACGCGCCGGCTGTTCGCGATGTAGATGAAGTGCTCCTTCGCCTCGGCGTCAGAACCCCCCCCCCCCGGAGCAGGCGCGCCCGATCCTCATCAGAAGCGCGGGCTCGCGAAACTCTGGGCCGCGCACTTCGACCGGCGCGAACGCCGAACAGCAGGCGCCGTCGAGGACGAAAGGCTGCGGGCCTTTCAGCGCCGTCACGTTTGCAAGGGCGAGCGGTTTGCCTTCGAACGCGAGGCCGTAGCCCTTGATCGCGGTCTCCAATTTCGCCTGCGGTTCCTGTTTGGCGAACGACTCCTCCGCGCGGTCAAGCGGCGCGCTTTTTCTGCGAACCTCCAAACGGAATCAGCGCCGGAGGCGGCGCGCGAAGCGGGCGTCGTTTCTGAGAAGGTCAGGGCGGCCATGTAGTTCGCGTCGCCATCGGGCAGCGCGCGCGTCCTGATGGGCACGGGCGAAGCGGCGTTGAACAGATGCCGCGCGCGATCATGATTGGACTGCTGGAGCGCCTCGCTAACGGTGGAACGCCGCGTGATGACCGCCGCGCGCCCCGCGAGCGTAGTCAAAGGCTCGGTCGCGCAGACTCGGGGCTCGCCAGGCACAAGGCGCTGCGCCACCTTGGCGTCGACCGCCTTGACTGGGAGAGGAACGTCGAAGGAGAGGCGCCGCGACGGTGCATGATTGGAGGAGAGGAGATAAGCCTCCTCAGCCCACATCC